AAGGCTTGCAGACTGCAATTGAGTATCTGCCTGCTGCCCAGCCTGGCCACTTGGGCAGCTGTCGATGACATTGTGCAATGCTGTTGTGACAAGGCCAGCTAGCAGAGAACCCGTAGAGGACAGGCATGACTCAGAGTGTGTATATGTACTCCTAAATTTAGGTAGGTTGTACATATTGAAATGTAAATGACCTGTAAAACAGAAACTATTTTCTCAACCATTACATAGCAGTATATATTTGTTAAACAGCTTGTATGCTCAACATTCACTCTTTTGATATTTTGTACAGATAAATTGATTAAATATTTTATTCACAAAAAAGCTTCTGGATGGTGTTTGAGGATGAAGGTCTTGACCTCTGTTGTTTATCCTTTCTGTGTTAGTCTAATTGTATTCTGCTTTAGAGAGTGTATCAAATGCATAGCTACACAGTAGGCCTGGCCTTTCTAGTCTGTGCTGAGCATGGTCTCCTAAGATACCAGGGTCTCAATGTGGTCAGAAGACCCAAGCATAGGGTTGTTGTACCTGGGTCCTTGTGACGACCATGAAACTGCACAGGATCCTATGTACAGCCATGCACTACATATGGTCAATGAGTAGAACTGAGTTCGAGGGAGAAGAGGCCACATGCTATGGAAAAGGTTTTTCTCTCTGGGACATGAGCACTACAGCTTGTAAATAGTGAACAGCTGTTCAGAAATATAATTGCAAGGGATAACCCTCAGACTGCTGAGGAAGACCTATTTCACCACAGAAAGCATGGGGCCTCTGCTCTGGAGACTGCATGGCCTTCCCTCTGAAGTCTCCAGGCATAAGAACTATTGAGTGGCTTCTTTGAGACCAATGACATATTCCAGAGACCCAAGCCTTAGAGCAAGTGTTCCAGGCCATTCTGGCTTGGTCCTCCAGACAGTACCTCCTTGGCTGTTTTAGCTCCTCCCGACAGAATGTAGCATGCTCCTGGCTTGTCCACCCCCTTCTTCCTACATCGGAAGTAGACTACTGCATTTGTTGTTTCTGGTCACTGAGAGATGCAGTTGTGACAGGGACCTTGCCCTCACAAAGTACATGTGACCCATGTGAGTGTGACCCACCTTTGTGTGAGTGATTTCAGCACCTGCCCAGTTTGGATGCAATGTTCCTGTAGTATGTTAATGAAAGTCTCTGCTGTCATTTTTCTCTCCTATCAGAGATTCATCTCCAGACTTTCTTTGTGCTCTTAACTTCATTATTAAATGAACATTTATTTTCTTGGGTGAAAATCTATCTTCCCAGCTAAAGACTCTGGCAGGTGCAATAATCGTGGAAGCCATAGGACCCTTCCATAGAGGTGCAAAGTCTTGTCATGCACTGTTCATTACGTTCCTAAGTTAGAATTTCATTGATTTTCATTGTTCACATGACCTACTCCAGCATGCTGTGTGGGGGCTTACACATTCACAAGAGAAGACTCATTTGTGGGTGAGAAAGTCAGAGGATTTGAAATTGTATACTACTTCCCCCAACATAGTTGTGAAAGGTCTAAAAGGCTCCTCAGAGGCTGATTCTGAGGAGGCCAAGCTGGACTTCTGTTCCCTCCCTGGCTCTGCTGTGCACAGGTTGCCCTTGGTGCTGTTCATTTCCGAGCAGACTGGGGTGAAGGTGTCCTGCTGCTGTTCCACTGAGGATGGCGACTGCTGTGGTCACAGATGTGCGGAGCTCATGTATCCTTGGAACCCACACTCATCTGGCCAGAAAGAGCAGCGATCTGGGGAGAGTCTTTTCCGCAGGGATATGTCACCAGTGCTGACTTCGGTGGGGCTGTGGGTGACTGCCGAGTCCTAATCACATGCAGGTGTACAGTGATGGCCAGTATGAGGAAGCCCAGATGTGCTGGAGAGCCTGAGCTGGGTGGATTTGCAGAGGTGGGATTCTAGTTCCTCTGTGAGGGAGCGAGACCCTGCAGGTGCACCCACACTCTGTGGCTCTAATGGACACCCAGTCAGGGGGTCACATTCCTGTCCCAGAGAGGAGGGATTTTCCCATAGACATACCCAGGAAGGAAATCCACCCCACTGTGGGGAGGTCAGCACAAGCTCCTTTACCAGAATGTTTGAGGAATGCAATACAAAATGGGAAGGCTCTACTGGGCCCGGCCACTGTCTTGTGTATTGTTCCTGTAATTCCCATTTGGGGTACTCTGTAGGGTTAAGGCTCAGTAGTTAATAAGCCACATATTTGGTAGTTGCCAACCTGTAAGCCTCAAAGGTTTTGTATTATAGGAGAAGAGAAGTAACCATTGTAGTCATACCAGACGAGATGGGCCACAAGAGGCAGTGGCCTTGTTTTGCAGTTCCTTGGTGTCAGGAAGTGCACAGTTGCCTTTGAATCTATTCTGATTGGGAAATGAAGACATGTCTCTGTCCAAAACTCCCTGGCATGCCTAGATTGAGGATGCAGAGGGTCTCAAATGGGACTTTCTGATAGTGTGACCCACTGAGAACCTGCATTATGTGGGAGCTTGCCTGCGAGGTATGGAAAAAACATGCTAATTACACAACATAGTTTATACTGAAATCTAGTGGCAGGTCCTGTCTCTGGCAAGCACAGAGATGATTACAACTCAAGCCCACCTTCTAGGACTCTCCTTTAAAGGACAAGGAGGGATGACAGTAGGGATCGGAAGGAGTTGGTCAGCAAAGCAGCTGTCCCTGCAGTCATGATGCTGAGAGATCCAACAGTGTTATGACCAGCTCTCCTGGGTGGGCTGGCAAGGGAGAGTTCAATGGGTGTGCAGGAGGTAGAAGCAGTTGGTGTTTGGGACAGGTCTCAGAGGCTTGTCATGATGGAGTCTGGAAGCAGTGTTTCTCAAGGATTAAGAGCAAACACACATGCAGAAGAGCAGGCACTTACAAGGCTTGGCAGAGCGCATCCTTGATAGACACCAGCATGTGGGCTTATCTCCTCCCCAAATATTCTGTAGTAGTTTTTGCCTGTGAAAACTGGACGGTTACAGCTTTGAGTTCTACAAGCCTCACTTGTTACCAACCACCTCCTTTTACTTCTGCCTGTGTGTGTTTGTGTGTCTGGGGTGGGGGTCTCACTGCCCTTTATGTGATTCTCTTTCCCATCCTTCCACTCCTGCAGGGTTTGCCGCCTGTGGCCTCCAGGAGGCAGCATGGTGTAGTAGAAAGAAGGGGACAAAGCCATTCCTTTAGAGCACTGGCCTGAACTAGGATCTCAGCTCCTGTCACCTGCTGGCTAAAAAATATTTTAAAGTTTATTTTAATTATGTGTATTTGTGTGCATGCGTGCGTGTATGCGTGTGTGCATGTGTGCTTCTGAGTGCAGGTTCCCATGGAGACCAGAAGCATCAGATCTCCCTGGAGCTGGAGTTGTGAGCATCTCCACAAGGGTCCTTGGAACTGGGCTCAGATTGCCTAAGAGTGGTCTGAGCACTTATTCCCTGAGCTGTGTTTCCAGCCCCAGCAGCTAGAAATCTTGAGGGAGGCAGGGCACTTTGTGAACACTGGGTGGGTCAGAGCCTCTAAGGACTTGAGAAGCTTCTATGTGAAACTGTGACAGTGCAGGGGATACCTTATCTGGACCTGTTCTTCTCTAAGCCAAACTGGTTCAATTCTGCATTTTTGTTTTAAATTACTCTCCCCCAGAAATCCCCTCATCACAGAACTGTAGCAACGCTATGCACTCTGTGTCTCTTGCCATGCTGCCAGGGTGTCACCTGTCTAACTCACCAGCATTTGTTTCTGTGCATTGATTGCTCACCACTGACTGGACCTGTCCCATAAGAAAGGAACTCAGAGCATGACTCCTGGCTTCCCAGGTCAGCTCCGTGTGCAGATGCCAGTGAGGACTTGTGTGCACCATTGACCCTCACTGTGTAGCTAACGGTCTTCTCCATGGACTAAGACTCTCTTTGTCTGGTGTGTGGTTTTTCCCCTTTGAGAAGTCAGAGCTCCGATACAGAAGCCACACAGAGGATGAGAACTGATCCATCACTCATTATGGAGCCGGCAGCACTTCAAACCAAATCTTCCCCAGCATCTTAGGTTTTTGAGAGGAAGGACCACCTCACTGTCCTGAGGAAGGATGCTGCCACGAGAGCTCTTCTCTAGAAGAAAATGGAATGGTTCCAATTGTGCATCAACCATCCCAACAGACAATGGGGTCTTTGGGTATGGGATCTTAGGATTGAGTCAATTAAGGGAAGGCAGCACAGCCGTTCCTCCCCTTCTCAGCCTGGAATATGTTTTCAGAGGTGAAGAAATAAGAAATTTAATAGACTACTTCTATACATTCACAAAATTTCTTCCAAATCAACAGAGTTTAGTAAAATGGGGAAAGAATTTATGTTAATGTTTTATTCAACAATTTAAAACCTTTCCAAAGATTATATCCTAGGAGAATTTCAGATGGGAAGGACCAAATGGCATCATGAATGGCATCGATGCTTCACTGCTTTCTGTCCATGGAGCTTCATTGGAGGAATCCCGCCGATGAGCCACTCCATGGCCTTACATATCAGATGTGGACAGTCCATCCCTCCCTTCTTGCTCTAGAGGAGCCTGCAGGGAACTGGCATTTTTAAGGGTCAGAAGGAGCTTGCTGGCCATCCTGGGACAGGTCAGAGTCAGGATCCTGCAGCCACTGTCTAGTTAGTTGATAATGTCAGGCAGCCTTGATTCTTGGTTTACTGCAGCAGGATCAGGAAGACATACTGGTGACCTCAGCCAAATCTGTACAAAGCCTGCATTGATTTCTGCCAGTATCTGAAGGGGACCCCAAGTTCACGGTCAGCATCCCCTGATCACTCCTCCCTGCAACTAGAAGGGGGAGGGGTGTTTGTCTGTCTTCACATTTCACACACCTGACTGCACACTTGACATTCATGGGTGGGTTTTCATTTTCTAGTATATGTTTCATAATTGCACCCAGGACAATCTACTCTAAGGTAATAATTCAATGAGAATCACCCATATTTCAAATATCTTCAGCTTGTAAGGATCCGTTGGGCAAACTTCACTGTACAGTGCTGTTGGGCTTCTTGTAAAAAGAGGAATCTCTGTGGAGATGACTGTTTCCCGAGTCAGGGAACACGTGGAAAGAGTCAACTGTGATCACTTTAGTCTAAGCACAGGGAGATGGGAGCTGGTGGTCTGTCAGCCAAGAGGGTCTCACGTTTCCTTTTCAAGCTTTAGGATTAAACATCCACCCCTAAGCAGAGCACACCTACAGCCTCCATGAACTGGCTGCAGGTGCATTTTCCCTGAGCCAGTGCTTATATTTTGGGCAGCTTATTATTCATCCAGTCAGCAACTATGGTAGCCACCTCCTGGTTAAAGCTAAGGACAAAAGCATGTGATATTCCTTTCTCACAGAGTCGGATATCGCCTTCGGGAAAATCTTTCTTCATGTCTTCATAGTACTTTACTGGACACCAGCTATCTGTTTTACCATAGTAAAATGTCAGCTGAAAAACAAGGAACAGCATTTTATACTCAGCTCCCAATGTCAACACACACCAGAGGACTGTGCCCAACTCTGTTCTCTGTGCTAAGGTCCCATCAGAGCCCTTAGGGACCACAGGATGCATTAAGGAGCGTGATGGCATGAAACCCACCTGGAGACTTTGTGTGGCAGATTCCTCTAACTCACTAAAGGAGACCTGGACAGGTCATGTGTACTGTGGTTGGAGTGGACATAGATGAGAAGGAGGTTAAGGTGAGCGAGACCGTTGTATAGACAGAATCATTGCAAGGCTAGTGGCCACACACTGTGTTCACACAGCCCTTTGGTACACACAGGGATAGGTTTGCTGAAATGATGCATGGGTATGCAAAGAAGTCAGGTTGTCTCTGGGTTCTGGATGTGGCTGATATATGTGATTTGCATTCTAAGAGACTCTGGGCTACTTTAAGAAGGCTCAGTCTGACAGGAGAGCATGCCCAATTCATCGAGAACACCTTGAGCATCCCTAGGGTCACACCAACCAGGCTGAGTGGTAACAGAGCCTCCTTTGAAGTGTTACTAAAATCTTTTCTGGAGATTTATCTGTATTTGCATATGAAACAGATGTGTGTACCACACAGGTAATAGATTATAAGCTGCTTGTCCCACTGAAAAATTTTATGTATGCTATATATCTTTACAAAAAGCAATGGAAGTAACATGATATTCAGAATGTTACACAGTGCTGGTTAAAAAATTTTAAAGTTTGTGTGTGTGTGGTAGTCAAAACAGGTTATTAGACCTTCATAGTAAAATACCATAGTGACAATTTTTATTAAAAAACAGAGTCAATTTTTAGGGACGTTAGGACATATTACAAAACTGAAGTTAGACCCAGTGAGCTCTGGCCCCTATGTAATCTGAAATAGTTACTGGTAGTTTCCCTAACACCAAATTGGCTCATTCACATACAGTCATTTATGCATTAGTCTTTTTAGAAAATATGACTTGAGCACTTCTTTTGTGTCAGTAACCAGTCTTGGAGGAAAGAGGAAACACCGAACAAAGCATAACATCATTTCCCAGAATCTCTCAGTGATTTCTCTGGTGCCACATTCCTTTTGAAAAATCTGCTGTAAGCACAAACTATCTGCAGGGATTAATACCTGACAATAACAGCTAGTTACTTTAGGTTCTCTCTGGACTTCCGCATTTGTTACTGAGAATCTAACAAACAATTCAGGACTATCCAGTGACTTGAACAGTCACTACCTCGGGTTGTCCTGCATTTTCATAGAGCAGGAGCCAGTGACGAGAAAGCTAGACATCCAGGCTTGATTTTATGCCCAGCACCAACCATTTGTTTGTTGTACTTTGCTCTGCTGTGTTCTGCTATCTGAGGGTATCACAGCAGTCGGGGGTCCTCCGACTAGTACAGACTATGGTGGTGAATCTTGTGAAAACTACTACGAATGAGCCAATCAGAGGGGAGCAAGGCTTCTGGGAAGGTCTCTGCTCACAAAGCTGTGTCGACAAGATTGTCTGTCACTGGACTTGGCGTTGCTCTCTGCCTGACACTTCAAGAACAATTTATATGGCTATCTTGACTTCTGCTTCTCAGTGAGGTGATAAAAACTTGAAATGTTTCCAATGAGCAGCCCAGTGTGATGTGCCCTTAGCATCGGGAGATGCCATCGCTGACTCATACATGAAGACATTTGGTGGACAGGGGCATCAGCATGGATTTAGGGACCCTGAAGCTCTCTTAGGGTATCAGGACAGATCATGTCCAGGAAATTAGAGCACACACTGAACTCTCACTGACATGTGCCAGGAATCTGAACAAAAAATGATGTGAGTTCAGTATGTCATTAACAATAAGGACTGCTTTTCTCTCTGCAGCTGAGTTCACTTCTCATTTCCAACTGCAACTGTTGGGGGTGGACCTCATTTGTTTAAAATCCCCACTGATGGTGGGGTCAGGGTTAGAAAGGTTCTGTTTTGCTTTATTTAGAAGTTCTTGGTGATACACTGAAGGGCTCTCTGTGAAAATCTTGGCTTACAAAACAATGGCTATCTAATGCCTTTACAAACACCAGCTTGACATACTTCCTGCTCCCCAGGTTACTGCTCGTGGACAACAGACCTGACCAGAGAGGACTCTGTACATCTGTAACCCCAAGAGAAAAATGGAAATGTATGGGGTATGTGAAAGCAGAGGATGTGTGCGGCAGAAAGCATGGACCTCTACACATGGGATTAAGTGTGCTTGTTACTTCTATCCAGACAGTGACAAAAAGCTGAATGGAAGGTTGTGAGCTGATGGGAACTGAGCTGTATGGTGAGTTCTGTGCTCTGCACACTCCACACACCTTCACTGTATTCATGCAAGAAGACCGAAGATGGAGTTTTAATTCCTGTTTGACAGAGAAGGAAACTGGCAGCCTTACTGAAAGTAACTTGCTAGGTCCAAGCACTGCGTGAGCCAAAAAGCTAGGCTGTGCAGCCAGGAGCTACTTTTTACTAGACTGTTAACAATCAACTGCACAAAGACTTGAGTTGTGAACAGAGAACCTGAAGACTAGGATAAGAAAAATCACAGCTGTGCTAAATGCTGATAAGGAGAGACTCAACTAACTACCTGTATTGAAACCCTTCTCACAGCCTGTGTGTTTGGGCATAGAAGGTGCTGCATGAATGCTACAGTTGCTAACTGAGAGTTCAGGCTGTCAGCAGGGTGTTATAATCAAAGGCTTAGAAGAAAAGAAACATGAAACATTTCCTGTAGTTTATTTCTCCTTAGCACTCCTTAGCACTGGTTTTTGTTTTGTTTTATTTTTTGATACCCATGAGAGTTTATTATAATGCACCCAGAGGTGAAATGGAAAATTGTATTTCCAAATTGTTGTCATGATAAGTAAGTAACTCATTTTTCCTATTAAACACATTTTATTTTTTCCCTAGATTTTGGTTGCCCGGGACTGCCACTTGCTGTTTCTCTTGTGTTTTCTACAGGTGAGATTATGCTACTGAAGTACTGCTCACAGATAGATTTCTGCCCCCAATGCCCCCTTAACACCCCCTAAAATATCCGCATAAACTGTTACAGCTTGTCTTCCACACAGAAACTCTTTTTTCGTGTATCCACTCCTAACCCCAACTTTTTGTTTTTGTTTCTGTCTATGAACAAGGCCTCTCATGTAGTCCTTTATCTCATGCTATGGTAATCGGATTCGTGACCTATGCAAGGCACGGATCTAGCCTGGCCTCGTTGGAGTGACAGCAGAGACAACGAGTCACTCCATCAGGAGCTGCCTCTCCTCTGCCCAACCATTAGAGATCAAGGAAAAAGATGCTGCTCCTAACCCTCAACTTTTCTTTCCCTTGTCTGGAAAAACTGAACCATAGCAGAGCTTTTGTCTAAGGGAAGAAGCAAGAGTTCAGATATGGAACATCAGATATGGATGGGGGATCAAATCAATACCCACATACGAATGCCTTCCTGTTAGTCACCTGTTCTTTATACCCAAATTCCTGCCTTATGGGCAGAAAGGTTTATTTTGGCTTTTAATTTTACATCAGACTGTGTGATCAATTAGCCCTACTACTCTGGGTGTCAGGGGAGGTGATCCGTCATAGGAGAGGGCATTAAGCTATTCACTTAAAGATGGCTGGATAGTGAAGGGAGAGACAGGAAGGCTCTGGACTTCCACTGTCTCCTTGGAGGGAATGCCCATATCATCACCTAATAGCACCACATTGGAACCAAGCCTTCAACACATTGCTTTAGGAGAATTGTCCAGATACAAACTAAGGCACCTCCCTCTTTTGCACCTGAACCTCATTGCTCTGTATCCATCATCTTTCAGGTTTCTCAGGAACATGGTACCAGCTTTAGGTTCTCTACCGAATCTGAATGCCACAGGCTTGATACCACCCCATCCCCCTCTCCCCCAGCGACCAAAACCCTTAGGTCTTAACCCTGGGAAACTAAAGGGAATCAACCGCATCTCCTCTCCGTTACTCAAGTCTGCCCCCAGTGGATACACGGTGCAGCCACAATGCTTTAAAATCCCACTGTGGTCTTTGTGCACCCCCTTCTCCCCTCCCCCCAGTGAGGCTTCCTGGGAGGTGGAGGTGGGTCAGGACTTTTGGCTGCAGCTTACCTTGTTTCCTTCTCTTTATCTCTGCCTGCCCACCCATTCTTGACGGAATGAGGATGAAGATCTCCTGAGGACAGAGGAGAAAATACAATACTTCCTAGCTACAGAACATTGCTTCCCGTTATAGGCGCCAGAGGAGCTATGGGAGTGGAGGTGCATGTCACGGATCCACCAGATGCACCCTCTTCTGGCTGAGCAGCTATGCATCCAAAGATATGCATGGCTAACATGCAAAAGGCCAGAATTTCTTTCTCCCTTGTGGAAGTTTGTACAAAGCCATCTAGAAATTAATTCCATCTAAACTATATGGGGCTGCAGTGAGGAGCTGAGCCAGGGTTTGATGGCAGTTGTCCTTCTGTATATATGTTTCTCTCATTGACTGATGAATAAAACACTGATTGGCTGCTAGCCAGGCAGGAAGTATAGGTGAAGCGATGAGATGAGGAGAATTCTGGGTAAAGGAATGTAGGGAGCCATGAGGAAGAGATGCCATGTAGAGACTGGGAAGATAGGATGCGCAGTAGTTCTCTGGCAAGATAAGGCCATGTAGAAATACACAGATAGTAGTTATGGGTTAATAAGACAGAGCTAGCCAGTAACAGTTTTATAATTAATATAGCGTCCCTGTGTCTATTTGGGGCGGAAGGGCGGTGGGACCTGGTGGAACAGTAACCTCCATCTTCAAGAGTATATTCTCCTTTGCCAAGGCAGCTGAGTAGAAGGCACTGGAAGCTATTTATCCTCCTGTGTTTCTGCTGCTCCCTGGGTCATATGTCTCAGAAAAGTCGCTGAGAGTCTTGAGTTGTCAAACTAAACTGAAAAATGACAGAGTCCAGCTCTTCGGAACCCCTGCACATGA